CCTGGTCAATATTCTTTGAATTTATCACAGATAAAGACTGCCATTGCCTCAGGGCGATTAAAGTATTTAAAAAAAAAAAGATACAGATAAGAAAAAATGCACCAAGAAATGCGTGTTTATTTATAAATACTGGCCAAGCTTGTTTGCTGCACGAGTCTGGTGTTCAGCACAACTCCTGAGGAGAAGGCAGCCAAGATAAGCAGGGAAGTCACAACAGCTTCGTGATATTCTGCTCATCTTCCTGTTTCAGTTCAAAATAGATTGCAGGACATCTTGCCAAAGGTTGAAAATAAAGCCACCCTTTTTAAGACCAAAGAGATAATGAGGATCACATGAGCTCACCTCCCATATAATGCATTCCAATATCTGTTCAAATAATTTCCATGACAAAGATGTCTTGCAAGTGGCAGAGGTCAGTATACCCTGCCAGGCACATAAGACCAAGACTCTGCAGTTCTACAGCCTGAAGCAGTTGGACAACTACTGATATCCAGCTTGAAGATTTTTTTCCCCTTATAAGGGGCCTTTCTCTCCACAGAAGTTACAAAAAACCTGTACCTGTGTAACCTGGTTACAGATTTAAATTCAGGAGGAAGGAATCCAGGTCATGACCACCTTTGTTGCAGAGACAAGCTCTCTTGGCATTTAAAATTTTACAGAAACTTACTTCATCTTCCTTTATTTCTTACTTCTTTGCTTCTACCTCCAGTTTTTAATTGTGATTATTCTACTTCTCTTCTGAGCATCTCTTCTACTGCATTTTTCTTTGATTTTTTTTTTATTTTATTTAAGACTTGAAGGACATAACACTGAGCTGAATTTTTCTTAACAAGGGGCAGCTTACACAGAACACACCATGAGAATTACTCTAATTTATATCTACACTAGAAACAAGAACATCCACCACAAAGATCTCTGCTGCTCTTTCAGCTAGTTCTGAGATATCTGTTATTCTCCCTCTGGTACAGGTACAGGATACAAGGTGTTGTCTTTCCATATTTGTACCTTGTACCCTTTCTCCTACAACCATTGCAATTAGTGGTGCACTCCATGAGATGAACCACATCAGTCACCTTTCTCCTTCAGCTCCTGGCCGAGTGCTCCTGCTTTTTTTCCTCACAAAGGGCTTTTCCTTGAGCAGATTCAACCCACCAACCTTGCCGGATAGTAACAACAAAAAAGTGGGGTTTTTCCAGCCAAGTCAGTGAGTCGAGCGACCTAATGAACACGGGATTGAGCGCAAGGAAGGGTGTAAGTGTGCTGCTTTAGGTGGCAGCAGGAAGCCGTGGCACGCCGGTGCCATTTGCTCCCTAGAAATGCACCGCGGAGCACCCGGACAAGAGAGGAACCAGCGGCGACGGGAGCGCGCGAGGACTTTTCCTTCGGGCGCGTTCCCAGCGCCGCCGCCGGGCCGCGGGAGGGAGGGAGCGACGGACGGAGACCCGGCCCCGGCGGCCGCGGGGCGGTAGCGCTCGGGCGCCACCCGGTGGCACCATTGAGGTGCGGCCGCGTCTGAGAGCGCCGAGGGGAGACGGGGGTGGGGTGGAAACCCCTCCGGAACAATAACCCGTGGCTGCTGGGCGTTTCCCAGAGCCTGTGGTGTGTGGGCAGAGACTCGGGAACATGGTGTGCTCCGCGGCCCTCGTGCCCTTGGAGCACGCACGCTGTGCACGGCACAGTACGCGGTGTGGCTCCTGTCCCTGCCATCTCCTGCCCCTGCTCTCACACGGGTCACACCCGCCCTGAAACCAGGCAGCGATGCTGCTTCTCACACTTCCTTGCAAGGCTGTCGTGTGACCCGGCTCCTGTGGCAGTTGCGGTTCCCAGGCTGTGCCTGCCCATGGCTGGCACGGACCGATTAGCTTTTGTGCCAGGGCCGTGCTTCGGCCCGGGTACCCCTTCTCCCGGCCTCCCCCAGCGCGTGTGCGCGGCAGCCTTGTCCTGAGCTCCGGTGCCAGCACCCCTTGGCAGGAGGGGGCTGTTGCGCCTTTAGCGTTGGCAGAGTTCGGGGTGAAGAGACAGTGGCAAATGGCAGGGTGCCGTGTGACTGTGAGACAGGTGGTGTCCCCAGGGCCGTGTGTGGCCTCGGGGAAATCACGTGGGCCGCGTGTGCCTCAAAATAGCCCTGCAAAAGCTTTGCTGTTGGGGACTGAGGGAACCAACCAACACTGATTATGGGGAGGCATTTGTATCGCGGGTTGCTTTGGAGTCAGCCAGTACCCGACTTGTGCCCTGAGCTCCTCAGCCCGGTGCTGCTGGTTGCCTGCTCTCCAAACTCCCACTTGCAAGCCCTGCATCGGCAGTTCCAAACATCATGGCACGGAGACATAACTGCATCATGACACTTAATAGTGGCGTGATGATGTTTTTGACAAAAATATCAAGGAAGATCTAAATGTTATTGCCCAACGTTAGTTTGAAGCCTAACACAAATGAGTAGAAAGTATCCTGAAATTAAACAGATTTCTTATTCTACACATTTACAAATTCTGCTTGCATGGTCATTTGGGAGAACACTGCACTGATTTTAAAACATAAGCACTTTTTTTAGCATTCTTTCTGCATTTTGGAACCAGGGTCTCATGCAAAATAGTGAAATGGATAACTTGCCTACATCATTTGTTGCCTCACACTGTTGGCACTTTAGAGTAACTTGATGTGTATCAGAATTGTTCAGAGTGTGGTGCTAGATTTTATGCTTATTTCAAACTTTTTGCTCAGTAGGACTTGCGTGAGGAATTAAGATCTATAGACACCTTTATAGGCATTTTAAATTTAATTTTTTTAATATAAAATAGAAATGTAAAAAAGGATTGGTTTGCAACTGGAAGATATACCATATTTTGGTATATATCATATATGCCACAATACTTTTGGAAATTATTTTCTTGCCTTTGAAATAAGACCAAATAAGACCAAACCAACCTTTACATTCCCATTCTATTTACAAAGTGACAGACACAATCCCACTGAAATAAACACAACTTAATCAAATTGATTTGACATTAACTTTTCATTTTGCCAAATCTGGGACAAGCCCTTCCATTTCTGTATTTGACTTTTCTAGGTGTTTTTGTTGCTAAAGTCCCACTTTCCCAATCGAAGACTATTGGGCAAAATATAAAGTGCCTCCTTTATGAGCACAGATGATCTTGAAAAGCTACTTAGTAATGTGCTAAAGTGGATTATATCAATATGTAATAGAAGTGTGTCAAGTACTTTATGTGCCTGTTTACATACAAATCTGTATTTGCATATGCATTGGAAAACAAACCAAGAAAACAGAAAAACATGTTTCAGTTGTTGGTGCAATTTCTTCTTAAAGCTGGAATCTTACTCTATTGCTCTCAGAAATAAGTGGTATTTCAGTTTGACTGAATTTTCACATGCCAGCGAAAATGCTTTGAAAACAACTACTCTGGCCCAAAATCTGCCTGTTTCAGAGTAATAGTGCAATGTTGCCTGAGATGCTTTTCTAGCTGTCTATTAGATTTGGATTTTTGAAACTCCATATTGAGTAACCATGCAGTAGTTTTAAATAGTGTCTATAAGAAGTGGCAATAGAAGAAACAGTTTCACTGCTTTCACAGACAAGAGTAGTGCTTATACGCCAGAATGTACTGGGAGGGATTTTCTGCAAAAATGAATGACAAAATTCTGGGCAGTCAAAACAGCCTAAATCACAATCTGGACCACAGTGAATAATGATTCCTCATATAACCCACTGGATTAATCACACTAACACAGTTTTTCTATATTAGAAAAAATATGCAAACATTTCAAAGGCCGTAATTACCATTCTTGACAATGAATCTTAGTACCGTCTTTTACAAGTGTTGCAGTTGCTGCAGCCTCTTTTTCCACAAGATAGCAGCACTAGAACTATGAATGAGCAAGGGGCTTGTAAGCCAATCTCGCCAAAATTCAGAAAGGCCACCTGGTTTATTTACTCTTTAACCTTCAGGAATTTGAAGCTCAGAATCAGAGGAAAAGCTTCTTAAACACCAGGACTGAGTGCAAACACCAATTAAAATAATAAAATGTACATTTACAGTTTACTTTAACAGACCCATCTCCTGAAAAAGCACATCACAGGACTTAAAACAATCTGCAAAACTAAAATGCTGTGTGTATAAATATATTTGTGTGAGTGTATATGTATGCGTGTGTGCATTGAATACAGTAGAAATCTTGAATATAGCAAAAGAACTCGTCTTCCTTGTATACAGCAAAAATCTTCTAAGTGATTAAAAGTTTGTTTATGCTTCCCCTTAACTTAAAAGTAATTTCATCACTTTTCCTCATACTTTTAGCTGCAATTCTTGATTGTCATTGTCCAAAAGTGATTCTACAGTGAAGGAGGAACCCCTTTACCAGCACACGGCAATTGCCAAGGGGAGGTGAGCTCCCTCCCTGTATTCGCTCTGTCCTACCTGAATGATTGTGTAACTCTCATCAAAACCTCCTAGTGTAAATATGTATGTATCAAATAATGATTTGGGTTGGATTAGGTGTGCACTTGGGAGGCAAATTTCTTGGCAACCTTTGCTTCACCATGTACCAGGCGCAGAGCACACGAGTTGCACTTTGGCAATATCCATTGCAGAAGCACACCCAAGGCACTGTAACCAGAAATGGGCACACAGCCCCTGTGATCCGGCTTGGAGCTAGCCAGAAGTTAACCCAGGACACAGCATGGATGGCATGACATCAGCATGAGCTGTTTTGCCTACAGCCTGTCAGTCCCCACTGCTTGCTAATGTTCACAAAACCTTAGTGGACTAGATGAAAAACTTAAAAGCAGAAGGGTAATTTTTTTATAAGCTCACAAGTGGTAGTACAGAAGAGGGGCAAAAATAATGGAAGAACGGACCACATCACCTGCATGATGATTGTTTTTTAATGTGAAATTGCAGACATCCTAGGGCCATATAGTAGTTGATATTTACTGGAGAGATTGATCTGTGGAGTTCAGGAAGGAGCACACTGGAAACAGTAAAGCTCTTTAAAATACTTTAATATGCTCTGAAATAGCATATTGATAGGGAAGCTGAAAAAAAAGGCACTTCTCATTCAAATACAGCAGGTGATGTAGAATATGTGTGTGTACATACACATATATTCATAAAAAGTTTGACTCTTTTTGAGTTTTGACTCTCAAGGAACATAAAAATATATCTGTAAAACATACATTTATGCACACATATTTTTTTTGTTTTTATAACTATTCATATGTTTTTCCTCTTTGGAGTATACCCAGGCACTCCTAGGACCATTTCTCTCTATGAAGAAATCAGACAGTGCTGTGGAATTACATCAGATATAGCCTTGACTATATCTGATATTTATTTCTATTGTTGTCGACACAACATATGCAAACTCTTTTGGGCTGCCAACTCTCATCTCTTACATCAAGGAAACTGAATCACGTACCTTGGCCTGAAAAAACTAACACAGCTTGCATAAATATAGTTTGATAATGTCCTTGAGTTTCCTGAAGACGCAAAGAAGCAGTAACAGCGTGTACGTTTTTTCTTTTTCTCTTTTTTTTTCCCTTTTTTTTTTTCTTTTTGAAATGCCATGCCATTGGTGACCATTTGTACTTGGCTGAAACTGCAGCACTGGATCCTATCGACAAAATAAATAAATAAATAAACAGATGGTTTATTTATTAGTGCAGTTGAACTAATGAAGCCAGGTTTCCTATCAGGTTATATCTTGCAGCTCAATTCCCTCACATCTAATAAAATGTGAGCTCTGCTCCTGTCCTTGCAAAACGCTTTTCTCCTGTGTGGGTTCTCAGTTGTGCACCAAGGGATAAGCAATCTTTCCTATAGTGGTGGCACTAATTCAGGGCTTTCTCCTTTAAAAGATCAAGTAACTCAAAGAAATTTGTCAGAAGTTCTCTGTAGAATTTGACTGAGATTGGCAAAAAATCCCAAAATATTGGAGAGGATGTGGAAGTACACTTAGATTTTTACGCCCAGCGACATAAAGGCAGCAGCAGTCTCATCTCCCCTGGGAACTGTGCTAAGCAGTATATCTTTATTTCAAGAAAACAGAAAAGGTCAGTGTGCTATTACCCATCATCTTGAAACTTCAATTGATTAATTTTTCATTAAGGGCACTGGACAACTGTTCAGGGCAAAAGCAGCAGAGAATATAGACAAGTCTGATAGTGAATGCTTCCCTTTGAGGTAAGATATGATTTTGTTTTTATAGCAAAAAACTCAGGAGAATTCAATAAAACTTGATAGAACAAGTAGTTTTTCTGGCAGGCTGGTTGCAAGTCTGGTCAAAGGTGTTTAAGCTTTCACAATGTTTGGTGACTTATTAACAATGTTTGACTTTATGCCTACAACACAACTACTGAAGTAATAAGTATGAACTGTTACTAATACATTAAAGGTTTTTGTGTTAGTAACAGGCAGTAGATTAATCTCTAGTTGGGGACGGGGGTGGAGAAGCATTTCAGAAAGAACAGCATACCATAAATGTACGGAAGAATTACAGCTGAAGAATTTTATGTCAATTGTAAAATACGAATGCCTCCCATACAAAAAAGAAACCACCAGTAAATGAAGCTATACCTTGTCTGAAAACAGCATGAATCAATTACTTACGATGTCATGGTTCTCTGATCCATTGAACATAGTCGCTCAATAATAAGCTAACTTTTCTAATATGACACAAAAATACTGTCCAAGTTCAAGATTTCCCAAAAGACCAGTAAACAACATGGCCTGGTTTTACAAAAATAGTGCTGTAATAAGGCTGGTGTCCTAGGCAGGTGTGTCTGTGTTGCAGCACTGGTGTGGTAAGGTCACGCCTGTACATCTGCCTGGGGCCAGGGGTGGATGGAGGCAGGATGTTCACAGGGTCTTACCACCCCAGAGCTGCTGGCCTTCTTGAAACTACTTGGAGCAGCCTTTCAATACTTAAAAGAGTCTATAAAAAAGAGGGAGAACGACTTTTCACTAGTGACAGGACAAGGGGAAATGGTTTTAGATTAAAAGACGAGAGATTTAGATTAGATTAGTTAAGAAGAAATTCTTTACTGTGAGGGTGGTGAGGCACTGGAACGGGGTGCCCAGAGACGGTGTGGATGTCTTATCCCTGAAAGTGTTTGAAGCCAGGTTGGATGGGGCCCTGAGCAACCTGGTCTAGTGAAGGGTGTCCCTGCCCATGGCAGCGGGGTTAGAACTAGATGATCGTTAAGGTGCCTTCCAACCCAAACCATTCTATGATTCTTTGATTCTATGAACTGGACATTTTTATTCTGTCACAATTGTCTGAAATTAATTCCAGGTTCAGGAGCTAATGGGTTGGGAAAGTGTCATGGTGTTGCTTGACAGAAGAACAGCACACGGACAACCTGGGGGCATAAGCTTTGTCTTCTTAGGAAGTAAGGCTGAAAATACATTAAAAGTATTTGGGGCAGGCCATTTTATAACAGATGGTTATCTGGGCTTGCATGTTTTTTAGGACTTCAAGTACAAAGTTTCTTTTGAACTAGGAAAAATCTGCGTGTAGAGGAACAGTACTTTTCTAAAAAGTTTATTTCAGTTTTTTAGAACTTATGTCATATTCAGGCCAATTGAATTGTGTCAAATCTGGGTAAATGTATGTTTAGTTCCTCAGGTTGGAAAGTTGTTGTCTTCTGGAAGGTTACTACATACATGCAATAACTTCTGTGCTTCCAGACTGCTCTGCCTGGGTAAAATGGCCACAGGTAAAAAGCAAACAAGGACTTTGGGACCAGACAGGGGACTTGATTTTCACACTTGCTACATATCCAAGCAGCTGTAGATGGCAATTCTCCTGGGCCATTACTTTTGAAAACAGGTCCCCTTGTCTAAGGCCTGCAGCCTGCGACAGTCACTTAGAAAATACTCACTTAGGTATTTGCATCCATAGTATTTTGTTTCAGCTTTGTGCTGTGTTTGTCCTTTGATTAATTCTCTTTTAAAAATCCTTTCCTGTTTTAATTGGCTTATAGAAGGATTTTAGCAGATTATACTGAAAAAAAAAAAAGAAAACAAAAATTAAAGGTTATTCAACACATTTAAATTACCACTCCTGAACATTTGGAGATTCATGTTGTCTTGTTACATTTTAAAACACTGATGGATTGTGTAACTGAAAACCATTACTTACAGTGAAATTTGTTAAAATAATTTGAGTTTAGTGAAGTTTCCATAAAATTGAAGGTATTTTCATCCTTGGTTTAAAAATCTCAAATTACAAACATGAACAAATGATACTGTTGTTGTTGGTTTTGTTTTGTAACTAGGAAATCTGTAGAATACTTAAAGAGTATTCATTTTTCCATTCTAACAAATTTCTGCCTTTCTCTCAGATTGCAGTTTGGTCTTATGTAAGGCTAGTTTCATCCTCAGGTTATTAATGAAGAATTAGTAAGGAGCTGTAGTTACTTTAAACTAAATCTTTGTTTGAAGATAAATAGACATTAGACTGATTTACAATTGCTAATTTGCACTAAGACTGAAAATTCTTGAGTTCTTGGTACCTCATTTAGGTAGTTTTTTTGTTTTTAACAGCACTTTGTTTACTTTTTAAAGCTCGCTAGTATGTTTTTTAAGAACTACATCATGTTCCTTTGATTGATATGGCTGAGGATAATTCCAGCTGTTGAAGAGTAACTTCTTTCATTGTATAGAAACAGTGGTTTCCACAATGGTTTCCTTAAGCCCTCACACATAAGAACATGAGTTTTATGCTTGTCAGTCGTGGCAGGATGTTATGTATCAGCACCCTCCAGAAGCCTTCAGGGAGACAAATAGTCACAGCAGGTTGGCTGTGATGATCCTTCTTCCATTCAAGGACAGAAATAGGAGGCAGATCCAGAAAGAAATACTGTTAAACTCAAGTTCTGTCCCTCTACTCTGTTCTGTTGAGACCCCAGCTGGAGTGCTGCATCCAGCTCTGGGGTCCCCAGCACATAAGGGACATTGACCTGTTGGAGGGAGTCCAGAGGAGGGCCAGCAAGTTGATCAGAGGGATGGAACACCTCTCTTAGGAGGAAAGGCTGAGAGAATTGGGATTATTGAGACTGGAAAAGAGAAGATTTTTGGGTAACCTAATTGTGGCCTTCCAGTACCTGAAGGGAACTTACAGGAAAGATGGGGCAAGGCTATTTACAAGAGGTAGTGAAAGGACAAGAACAAATGGGTTCAAATTGAAAGGGAGTAGAGTTAGATTAGGTATTAGGAAGAAGTTCTTTACTGTGAGGGTGGTGAGGCACTGGAAAGTTGTGGATACCCAATCCCTGGAAGTGTTCGGGGCCAAGCTGGATAGGGTTCTGAGCAGGCTGGTCTAGTTGAAGGTGTCCCTGTCACCAGCAGGGGGGTTGGAACTGGATGATCTTTATAGTCCTCTTTCAACCCCGACCATTCTATGAGTCCCTCCATGACTTTGGGCAATCTAGAATGGGCTTCGGTGAAATCAGCCTTGGGCCTTTAGATGGCTAAAAGTGCAATGAAGCTTTTGTGTCGGGACTGCCCGTCTTCCTGGCAACTGGGCGGGGTTTCGCTGTGATTTTGAAGCTTCAGATCTCCACTAATGGAGTGAAAATACAGTTTCTCTGGAGCTTAGAAGTAGCAAAAGGTTAAATTGGCGAAATCGAGCAGCCAACACAGACTGAGGACAGACACACGAACAGGTACATTTGCCCTAGAACGGCGTATTCGAGCGATGTGTGTGGCAGGTGCAGCCGGGCGTCCCCCGGGATTCCCAGCGCTGCGGGAATCCCTCCTCCACAAGGCAGGCCCGTGTCCCGGGCAGCCCGGGCAGCAGAGCGGCCGAGGCCCGTCCCCCTCGATCCGGGTATCGCCGCCCCGGGGCGGCTCCGCCGCCGCCCCCTGTGCCGCGGCGGGATTGCTGCGGGGCCGCCCGGGCCGGACGCGCCGCCGCTCCCGGACTGCTCCGTTCCGTTCCGGCCGTACGTACGTACCAGGGGCGGGCCGGGCTGGGCTCGGGGCCGACGCTGCTTGGGCTGGGGCTGCCGGGGTCGGGGCCGGGGCCGGGGCTGGAGCGGGCTGCGGGGCGGCGACCGGGGGGCTCTGGCAGCCCCTCGGCGCGCTGGGGCTGGGGGGAAGTGGGGCGCTGAAACGCCCCTCCGGGCGGCGCTCCGGCCTGACAGCTGGGTTCCTGCCTCTGCAGTGGCTGAAAATCCGATTATATGAGTTTCTCGCATTGAAACAAACAAATCCCGGGGTGCCGGGATGGTTGGAAGTGAAGGCTGCGGTCCTGCGCGCGTGCCGGCGCCCCTCACACCCCAAACCCACCTCCGTCCTGGTTTTGCTGTCTGATATATACACAGAGCCTTGTATTGCAGAACCTGCGAGAGTTGTGGTGTAACTTTGTGCCTGCGGCAGGCGCCAGCTGTTCCAGCCTTACACGCCAAAGCAAAGCAAGTCGTTTGGGTAGAGTAAGGGAAAACGTCTTAAACTCTGTTATTGTTGTCTCGTAATTTTAGGAGCGTGCAGAAATGTCTCCCTTCGAAAATAAAGGACTCGTACTGGGTATAATGGCAGGGACTGCTGGATTAAGCCTGGTGGTGGTTTGGTACCGCAAGATCCGAAAACGCGGGGCAGCTGTGCGTGTACGTGCATTCCAGGGTATAGGTAACAGACTTAATTCTGTGGGCTTGCAAAATGAGGCTCCTAATGAGCAAGGAGCGGTGATGGTTTTACATGGGAGGCAACTGCAGATATTAGAAAAATTGAATGGCCTGCTACTAAGTGTGGACGAACTGAAGAGAGAGGTGGAATTTCTGAAAGAAGCTATTCCAAAGCTTGAAGAGCTTGTTCGAAATGAGCTTCAAGGGAAAGGTGGTGTTCAGAGAGTTAGCCCGTCACACAGAGCAACAAGGCGGAGAAAAGCTGAGACAACTTCTGGTGCAAGAGAAACTACCAGCTCTGAGGAGGCGGAAAGTGAAGGAGGGTGAGTTAATAATAATTTGTATATACAACAGTACACATGCAGTGCAAATTGTATCAATACCTATGTGAAATTGTAAACAGGAGCCCTTTTAAAGTTTTATGTGGATTTTATACTTCTCTATATTTAATGGAAAAAAACCCCCAGAAATTCAGATTAGCAGGTTTTGGATCAGAGAAGACTCTTGGTGACCATCTCTGAACCTGCACTGTGGCTGAAGTTGGCTTAATGCCAAGCATAATACAGATTTTTTTAGGAATGTGTTTGGTAATGATCTGATGCAGTATTGCTACATAGCTATGCAATGAGAGACAAAGTTCAGAATAATGGTGTAATTTTGAAAGTACCTCTAGTAAGAAAGTGCTCTTCTGTCTTTGCTATAGTTAGTTCAAACTGTATGAATGCTCTTGTGCTTTTCATGATAATTGTTTTCTATGGGCCTCACAAATGAGTTATTGCAGTGTTCTGCCTAGAGGTATTGCTTACTGTGAAGGCAATGTCCCAATGCAACACACGTACAAGTGACAATGTTTATGTATATTTGTGATTGTATACCCTTTCTAGTGGCTCAAAAAGTAATCATGAGTGATTTAGGATACTGACTCAGTAAGGTAGAAAGTTCCTAGTTTTAGCCCCTTCTTGTAGTCCCATTGCAGTTGATGGGATCTTTTACACTTGTGAGTTGAGGAATGTACTTGTGGGGAATAGGGCCTGGAAAAAAACAGACCTTTGCAAAGGACAGAGCAACTCATTACAGTAAACTTTTCTCAGCTTCACCCCTCGAGTCTGTGCCTCAATACAGCACAGTACTGAAGGATCAGATGTACCTGGAGTCCGGGGGAGGGACTATATTTTTGCCTTTTCAAACATTGCTTAATATACCCTCCAGTAGTAATGTAAAAATGGTGATGACATTACTCTCCTGTAATTATGACTTTGTTTTGGTATAATCAGATTAGATGCTTATGCGCAATTTAATAAGTGTATGTTTATAGCAACTGAGTTTTTTGAACCGTTTCCTCACTGTGTCTTACATGGCTGCGTAGGCAGCATTTGCCTACTTATGTCACCTTTTTTCTTTAAAGGTATATTAATCAACTGTAATATTCTGAAGCCAGTAACATGCTGCATATAATAATTAATGGAATTTTGGTTTTAAGAGTTTCTCTACATTCATTTTCTCTTCCTGTGAACAGAATTTCCTGTTGTGTTACATCCCAGCCTACATGCTTCACAAGTCTTATATTTGGTACCATATTTTAAGACCTGTCAGTTCTACTATGAACTAGTTCTTTATTTTAAGTATTCAGCATTGGCAGAAGTATTCAAAGATATTCCTCCTTCATCTGGTGTAGAAAAATTTTGGTTCTATTAGTTTCTCAGATTATTTTATCTGTTGATTAGTTTGCATAGGCCTTTATGCTATGCCTAAAATATTTGGAGATGTAGATAAGACTAAGGGACCAGTTTATGAATAATTAGTCCATTGATGCAATATAGAGGTTATTCCACACCTAGCATTTCAGAAAGTCCCGTTTTTTGGTCAGGAGAGATGTGTGGCTCTTTGAAAAGAAACCAAGGAAACAGGTTCCTATTTGTGACGAAGAAGCTGATGTGATAATCCAATGCGAGTAATTATAGTGTGCGAGAGTATTGAATGTGTCCTTAAGAGAGGCCTTCTCTGACAAGTATTTGTGTACAGTCATAAGGAAGGAAGATAGTTCAAGGTTATAGTTAGTGTTAGTCATTTGGGGATATGCTTTTCCAATGCTATTTTTCAATCCCTTTTGAAAAGAGATGTTTTTTCCCTACTAACACCTTGTACTTGATGTTCTTGTTTTGCATATCTTCTCTAAATTTAAGATAATTTAATTTAAGTAATTTGTATTTTTTTTCTTCCTCTTGCAAATAGGTTGTTAATCCTAATGTGTGTACAGTTGCAATGTATATAGCTTTTTCTGGGGTCTTCTGTAACTTTAAAGACTGTAATGCATGTTCTGTGAGAGTTTACCGGGAGAATCAATAGCAACACATGTTCTTTTTCCAGTTAATGTACATCACTACTTCATGTGCTGTAGGTATAACACCATGTGCATTGTTTTATACTGTTCTGATGTGAATTCCATACACATTAATGCATTCAGTTGCTAGATTGTGCACTAGAGAAATGATTTTGCTCTTTGTTACTGATAAAACACTTTTTCACTTTGTGTACTCCATCTAAAGTACATGCAACGTGTTTCACTGCCTCAGCAGTATTTTCATGATATAGAAGATAGGATTTTGCTTGTGTTAAGCACTTCTGGTATTAACTGACAAATGGGTAGATGCTGGCAATTGACAGATAAAGTAATCTGAAGAGTTTTATGGATTTATGCTGGATGACTATACTGGTTTAAGGTTTGTAAACTTCTGGAAAAGCATTTAATGCTTCCTCATTTTTTCATGAAATATTTGAAGCTGACAGTATCTGATATCACCTTTTGATCTGCTGTGGGCATATTCTCAGTGTCACTGTTGGTATTCAACACCTTGGGAAAAGAAGCATTTTTGCCTTTCAAAATGATATATTTCTGTAAGTGGAAAAATATCACATGCTTTTTAATAAATGAGCTATAGTTTTACATGATAACAGGTAATTTAAATGGAAGGTGGACTGAATGGATGAGACATTAAATGCTAAAGAGCCTGCCGTTTCTAGTCTGTGCTTTTCTGTATTCTGTTCTTACTGGTTTGTTTCAGTTTCCATCATTTACTAGTGAACTTTTAACAATTGAGAATGGGTAACAAGCTCTCGTTCATTTACAAATACAATAAATTGTGTCTAGATGATCACCTGAGATGGAGTGTCACTGAATTCTCCTCTTTGTGATTTTAAAGCTGTTTCCTCCCTGATGTGGCAGTGATGAGCCCTTGACATCGGTGTCATGTTTGGCTCCAGTCTTCATCTGGCCCCGTGTCCCAGCTTTTCAAATTGCAGTTGGCATCAGTCACCACAAAGATTCACCACAGTACATTCTTTTATGACAGATGTTCTATTTATAATTTTTCCTTGAAATAGTTTAAATATTCAACAGGAAGAAACATTTCCCTTGCCTGCTTCTGTGTATCACTTCACTTAGCATTTTTTAATTTATTTTGCTGCTCGTTTCTTTCAAATGCAACCTTCAGTTGGCCTAAGAATCCAGTTTGCCAAACTTTTCCTCAAGGGCCTCTTACCATTATGGGTGGCTACACACTTTGCTGGAGCATCCAGTGCAAATTTGATCCAGATCAGTCTGTGACATATAATCTCCTTTCTTTTGAATTGGCTCAAGCAGATGAGACGGTGTTTGTGTCAGCTTCTGATTTTTCTATGTTGGCAGGGAGACAACAGATGATATTTGATCCGTCTAAGAGCTGAGGTGTTGTGAACAAATGATACCTGGTTAGGCCCAGTGTCTGCCAGTGTACAGGCAATTCAACTCAGTCTTTGAACCACCAAAGTGCATTTACACCACAATGGTGTTTTGCGCCCTGTAGCTCAGGTTTTTTTTAATCCAGTAGTGGTCGCTGGGATTTACTGAACTGCTTAACCATAGTGGGGTGAGTCTCCAGCACAGTTTCCATTTGTTCTTTGATCTTTGAACAGTTCATTATGATACAGCTGAGTCCTGTTGGTTGACTGTTGCTCCTCACATTCTTATCACAGTTTTTCTCTTCTGTTTAAATTCTATTGGTAATAAAGGTGAAAATGAGTTGGCACTGACTTTAGACATTTTTTAGAAGTTCTTCCATTTTCTCAAATATTGATCAATGTGTTTATCACATGTAAATACTCACTTTTCTGTTTATCATCTGATAAAACCTCTTGCAGGAAAACACCAGGTAAAATTGCAGATTTCTGTTATATGGAATATTTGTAAAACAAACCATAATGACTCTTCCTGGTTTTGTGTTTATTTCCTTTTTGGATTAGTGTCATTATTCCACAGATGTCTGGAATTTTTAAACTGTGTTAAGAAGAATCTCCATTTCTGTTTGTGTTAGTAGTGATTTTTAGTGCTTTAGAATGAGTAGATGTGTAAGACTTAGCTGCTTTGTTAAAGTTGGTTATCAATCAACAAATAAATAGAAGTTTGTGCTCATCAAGGTTTAAGATGGTCTGTTCCATATTTAAATTCTTTGAGGATTCATAAAGCGGATAAATAGAGGAGGGAGGAGAGAATTTCCCGGGACAGTGGAAGTGAGAGGGACTGGAGAAGAAATTACCTGCGCTCTTTGCTCTTTCTCAGCACAAATGTAGCCTGGAGATCAGATTTCTGTAGGAGAGATGGGGTGAGGAAAGGGTTGATGCAGTGTGGTCTGATCTTAAAAGATTATTCTTCCTTGATATTTTATAATTAACTCCTTAGGGGTTCACATCATCTGTAAGATAGTGACCTACTTCACACTTTTTCTATTTGAGTCTCCCAGTAAATACTCTCGTATGACTTATCTGATGTCATATGAATTTGATGTTTGGCCTCAATTTGATGTTTGGTCATGACAGTTTGATACAGTGCTGCTGGAAATCTCTGCTGGGCTTGTTTGGACTGACAGCCCAGTGGGCTTGGCTGTCAGCCCAACCTTGACCTTTATGTTTTTGCTGGGAGAGTAATGTTTTGTAATAATCACTTTTGTCTATTATCTAACCTTGAAACAGTAGTGAATTTTAGCAGATGTTTACGCAGCAAAGATAAAGAAGACAACATCCACATGGACTCCCAAACACTGATTCTTTACTTTCATATCTACCTGATTAGGTGGCATTTGAGGCAGTGCTCAAATTTCTGAAACTAAGGAAATTGCCTTGACTGCTTAGCTGTTGCTCTTTTATATTATCTAGTGCCCTTATTTTAGGTTGGTAATTGCACAAATCCTCAGTGTATTTATCTTTTAATTAGAGGGAATGGGGCATCCAAACCATGGGAGGAAAAATACTTTCCAAACATACTTTGCATCATAGAACTATGTGCTAGAGCTAAAAGGCCCCACTCCCAAAGAAATACCTTGCACTTTTGGTAAAGTTAGGGCTCTTACAAATGCAGCCTATATATGATGTACCTCTGCAACCACTTCAAAAGAACTATGGAAGAACAAGATGCTTCTGAAAATTAAAAGAAACGTTCAGTGACTGAATATAGTCTCTGCAGGATACAGCATAGGATGTGTCATCAACTTCAGCACCACCAAGATTATGTAAAACAAATCTGTAGGAACTTATGAAGTTTCCTATCTCTGCTCTGCTCCATTATGTTTTCCAGTTTAAAGATGCACATGTGGTTTATGTACGTATTGTTTTATCTAAAAGTATTTTTGACTACTCTTTCCCATATTACTGGGTTAATTTTGCAGCAAAGCTGTCATACCACATCTAGCACTTCGTACCTTGATAAGCCATTGTACTTGTTCATTTGCAGGCTAAAAAGTGTGTCTGTTCATGTGTTAGTTATGGACACTTCTGGAAACAACATAATGAAAAAGGGATACTTAAAAGCCATGATTAATAACCTCCACCAGTAACATTCTGCACTGGTTCTATTTCTGAAAAAAACCCAGATTTTATATATTTTGACTGTCATGGCGTACTTTGATTATTCAGTTAGTTAATGTGTGCGGTACATTCCATGCTTTTTGTGCTCCTAGTAACCATTTAAAAAAGTCTCTGAACCTAATACCTTTACATTATTATTTCTCCCCAGAACAGTATTTTCAAAAGTGGAAATTGGGAAGATGAGGCTTTTCTTTCCGTTTTTAGTGCATACATGAGCAAAACGCTACTTTTTAAAAACAATGCCATCAGCTGCTCCTCTGTGAAATTGGAGTACGCTAATGTGTGCTCATCACTTTGGACAGTAAGGCCACCTGCTTATCTCTGCATGGTATTTATGCTTTTGTAAATATTTCTTTGTCCTTGACTGCCTTGTGCTGAGTACTTATGCAGTAAGCATAATTAATTAAGGTCTTTCCCAGTTTGAGATATTCTGAACTTCAGAATGCTCAAAAGAAATAATGAATTGATAGCAATGGTGTTATTTATATTGGCTTGTATTTAGATCTTAAAAGTGTTTAACAAAATATTGTATAAATTATTCTTATAGCACTTTTATTTTGGTTTGTAAGCTCATTCCTATTTCAAAAAATAGGGAAATTGAAGAGTTGAAGAGGCCTATTCAGGGTTACAGAGCATGTCTTAAAACACATGGATGATTTGAAGTGTTCTGTGTTTGAAACACAAGGCGACGTGTTTCTAATATGTACCTGCATTTTTTTAATGAAGTATTAAGCAGCAGAACAGGGTAATTGCTTGCCTGTTATGTTTGGAGTATGATTGTACTGTCCCTTTGAAGGTAAAGCTTTTGTAATAATAATAATAATAAGCTTGATACCATGAATAAAAAAATCCTTTAAGGTTGGACAACTGGGATAAATTGTGCTCTGAAATTTTTGCTTCTGAGTTTAAGAATGCTTTGCCAATATTTTTATAAAAAATGGTTATTATTTTCTGTGATTTTAGTTATCTTACAGCTCATACTGATTCTGAAGGAGACTCTGAGGAAGAAAAGAGATGTATGAAGCCACCTGATGCCATGGTGAAATCAGAAGAAGAAGAAGAGTTGTTTAATTTTTTACAGCAGGTGGACAATTTGCACAAGGGTTCAGAGGATGATAAAAAGAAGGGCTTCAGACTGCTGCTTGAGAAAGATAACAAGGTATTATGGAGTAACTTAATATTGTGTTGCTATTAACTTATGCTTTGCACTGCTTTTAAGAACTTAGTATGAGCTTTAAAATGCACATAAAAAGGGAAGATGAAATTTCAAGCATATTTTTAAAATACAGTGAAAAAGCAATATTTCAAGATGGTGTCAATATTCGTGTTGTGTGGGCATGAAAGTTCTACAATTTCATATCCCATTCAGGCTCAATAACTTTGAGGCTTTGTTTGATGTAGGTATTCTTGCATGCAACAAATACAGATGATGGGCTTTTTTCTATGTAAATGATACTTACTTTTACTGGTTTTGGAATATTCTGTGAGAAAATCCTGTGGAATTAAGTTGTAAGCAGACCTAGTGTTCTCAAGAAATTATAACTATGAGCATCTAGTCTGCTTATCTCTGATATCCTTCATGTGAATTTTTCCTTTGACTTTACTGTGCACATATGTAACTCCAAATAAAATTTAAGGGTGGTTTGTTGTGTGGTGCTTTATTCATGGTACCATTTTCTTCTGGTTTGGCAAACATTAGTTCTGATTATATTTTCATTTACATATTGGAATACCCAGAAAGGTAGATAAGAGATTAATTGTGAGTGAGTATAGTGCTTATGGCCTCCCTAAAGAAAACACACATCGCTTCATTCAGGGATCTATTGTGCTTTACTGGGTTACCTTTTAAGTTTTTATATTAAAAATTTTAAAATAATATTTATATTCATTTATATTATATTTTTATAGTTACATTTTTAAGTTTTCATATTAACCTGATTCATAAAATAAAACTCTTTAGACAGCCTAGAATGTTTCCAAAAGCTAAGTTCTCTTTTGTTAATGAAAATTGGTCAATTGCTTCTCACATAAACTAAAAGTAGTATGTAGATAGATGCAAAATAAACAAAAAATTATTACATGTTCTGATAACTTGCTTTAAGCATTATGAATGTAAACTGTTTAAATCATATTCTGATCAATTTAATTATGCAGCTGTGGTCTACTTTCAGTATGAAAACTGCGTGGACTTTCTGTGGAGACTTGCACGTGCTTATGGAGATCTGTTTGAGATGACTACTGATGCTGAGGAGAAGAGGAACTATGTTATTGATGGTAAGCAGAAGAAAAATGTTTATGTAGAATGCTATCTGAATGTAGTGAAACATGCTTCAAACTTTAAGTTTTCCAGTGAAAGGAATTTGCAATCCAATAAATGGGAGCATTTGTACTGTAATAAGAATATTTTGTGCAATAAACTGCCACAGTATACAACTTCAGTTCATTTTTTCCTCACTGAGAGATCCAAAATTGGTGAAGGAGAAGTATTGTGGATCATAATCGAAGGCTGTTGACTCTGGATAGTGCCTTAAAATCCCGTATTTTGTTGAGAATCAGATGAATACAGAATGTGAAAAACCCCAGATACTGTCAGCAGTTTCTTAATTACATCTTTGGGAGAGTGTGAAGAATAAATAAATGCCTAGGTTGGGTCAAGGTTTTTTTTTCTGCTTTCTTGTGGCAAGGACCACTCCTGCATATATTGTGGTGAGGGTGGGGATGAAACTTTGTGAATCTGAAGAAACTGTTGACCAGAAACAGAAGTGTGTGAAAACTGGTGTTGCTTCTAGGCATCTCTCCCTATGTATCCTGTTTGACAACTTAATCTCTGCAAGGTTCTGGTTTTCTTCTTCAGAGCACTTTTTCTTTGTTGCTTTTAAAAGCATTGCCCTTTCCTTTGCTGTCTGGATGCATATTGGCTGGAGGTACAGTTTATGTTTCCCTTTTCGTTTTGGACCACCTTCGTTTCATTACATTAGAACCTACATCTTCTCTACCTGTGTCACTCTCCTTCAGTCAACACACTGTGCTTAAAATAATTATTTTTGCCTGGAAGTACTTCTCTCTCTCTCTCTTTTGCTTCTTGATTGCCTCTCTCTTTCTTGCTGCACCAAATGAAGTTTTTAAATGTATTCCAAGTTTGGGTTATTTTGTCTTTTGTGATACTTTTTGTCAGCGTTTTATTCTGTCAGCATTGACAACATCACAGACAAAGAAGTCTGGATGCCCTTTGTCATCCTAAAAGACAGTGTCATGTCTTTGTGCTGTTGTTACATACTCCATAGCCAATCTCAGCTTGTTCTTCCTTGTTCCTTCCTTATTACCATCTTTTAGTTGCTTCCTTTACTCAGGAAGACTTGCACTGCCTTAGCTACTTAATCGATACTGTCTTTGCTTTAGTAGGAACTTGGCTATTTTGTATGGAAATCTCACAGTGCAGTGAGGATTATGACACAAAGTAAATTACAACAGTAAATTCTGTTGTTGGAGCCTTTGCTTTTACCAGTGACTACGTGTAGCCTCAGCTGATGGAAGATAATGGCATAGCAAAAGACAGAGAGGTACAGAATGATGGAGTGAAAGTGGGTCTTACGTGTTGAGTAACCAGCCTAGTTTGGCTCATTTTCATGAAACGGGGGTGGTGGTAGCTTTTTTCATCTCAGTTTTTGGAAGTGGTGCGGAGGGATTGAGGCTGTGGGGGAGCTGGCAGTAGTTTCGTGCTTATTTTTCCTTCCACTGGGTTGGAGGGCTGTGTATGCTATTCTTTGTTTCTGTGAAGTTAACTTGCAATACAGAAATGTCCGTGTGGCTTAATTGGTTGCAGCTGAGACTCTGCAAACAGCAAGCATCTCATTTGAACTTCTTACTGGGAGCATGAATTTGATCAAATCACCTACTGTCATCTTTATTCAGTTAGTGGAACTTTTAGTCAGTTAAGTGGAACTTAAGGGAAGTCTTTGTGCTAGAAACAAACCAGCTAGTTTATTTGTGTACCCAAGTCAGGAAACAGCTTTGCTGGTTCTTCTGACAGGTGCTTCTCCAACCTGCTGTTAAGAGTCTTCAGTCTTACAGACAACATTGTGTCCTTTGGCAGTCCAATCCAATCCTTCCCTAATTACATCTGAATTGGATTTAAATAAAAATAATAATAAATAAAAAAAATAGATGTATGCATGTGTATATGTGTGTATATATATATATGTATGGAAATGTAAATGATGTAAAGCCAGGATGTTACATTGTCCATCTAAATGTTTCTAAGAACAGGAAGCAGTTTCTTCTTTGCTGCTAGAATATATCAGGTCGGTTTGTTCTTGGGAGGCACCTAACAGGTGGAAGAGTACAATAAATCCTTTAATATATTCTACTCCTTTTACAGGAAAGATTAAAGCTGAAAAAGCTGTTCAGCTGGATGATGGGAGTGCTGAGAGTCACCAGTGGTAAGTTTGAGAAAGTGTGCAGTTTTAAAAACTTGTATGTATCAAATCCTACAAACCCCCCAGCCTTCTTTGGCTCTAAATAGTGCCCACAGCAAGTTACATTTATCATACTACAGTTTGATATCAGTTTCATAAGTTACTCATTAATATTTTTTCCTAACTTTATGGGACTCAATTATCCCCAGTTGCAGCTAAAAATTACATTGAAGTATTCTGTGAAGTATGTACTATAGAATGTGAAACAACTCAATAACAATACTTCAGCATGACCATGTATTTTGTCCTTTCATTTTCTTGTAATAATCTAAATTCTTATAATTAAAAATAGATATAGAGGACTATGGAAATTTCAATTAACTTCTCAATTTTTGTTTTATCATATAATTTTCCTTCAAGCTTGACACTTATTTTAATTTCATAGGCCTTGCCAGAATTAACAAACTCTGCAAATGTAAATATTTTTTATCAAATCAACATTATCAGGTAAAGGATAATTCTGCTGAGTTCTAGCTGACAGTTCTTCACCTTACTATTTTATTAGTAAATATTACTGAGCTCCTGATTTCTTTTCTAATATTGTTAGCTTTTCCTTTCCATTTTTGTTTCTGCGTTCTTCACTACTTTTGTCATTACATATGTAGGGTGGGATTTCACTAAATTTTTACATATCTAAACCGAAGAGTTTTATCTTAGGTTCCTTTCACAATCAAAAAGAAAGCAGCCAGTTCTGGAGTGCGGTTCATCTGAGTCAGTTTTGCCCATTTTGTCTTGCATGAGGGTGAGATGAATTCCTCCTGAGGTTCAGTTGACAACATCTCCATTGCCAATGAAGGGAGCGCGTCAGCTAGCTCAGGTTTAGATACTTGATTAGACATAGATCTTTTCGTTTAATTAGGTGACTCTCTGGCTTGGTTTATCTGTTTCTGAAAGCAATTTACAGCCATTTGTGCTCTTTGCCTGACCACAGTCATGGTCACTTCTTCAGGGTGATGCTGGGGTGCCCATCTCAGCTAAAGCTATGTGTATAAACCACCACAAAATCACATGCAAGTATGAGTCCTGCCCCTCCCTTCCTCCTCAGCCCACAAGACTGACAGAATATCCTGTTATAAATACAACTTCACTCGCAGAAACTATGCTGATAAAACCTTACATGTTGTTTAAGGACATGTAGGTGGTCTGCTGAACTTCAGATGTGAGATCCTGTACTGACAGGTACATCTACCAGGGGAAGAACTACAAGTGTGAGGAGATGTGTTCCAGAGGTTAGCTCAGAAAGCCAAATTGAGAGACTTAAGAGGAAAATATTATGTTTTGTAATCTACTGCTTCTCGTAACAGGCAATGGATTTCTGCATGGTTTAGTTTTCATCCTTTTTGTATCTGGGTAAATGTGAAGGTTTTATCAGTTATTGTTTAACTGGTGGCTCTCTAATGGTATAGATGAACACTACAGATTTTAATAGTTTCCTATATTTTTTTTTCCTGAATATATTATCCGCTTGACTTTATTTTTTGAAATCTTTCTGACTGTATGCATGACTTCTAAAGTGTGATGCCAGTATTGGTTATGCTTATCTAACTGAGGCTCTGAATACTGGGCAGAATGAGCTTCCATGATCCAGAGGGACATTGGTATATCTTTGACATGACAACTGTTTTTCAGTCTGTGGTCTCAGTAGATCCTTTTCTGCTGTGCTACTACTTAACCAGCTGGACTTGTTTTGTAACTTTTTTTTGGAAACTTGTTTTTTTTCTTTCTTATTCCTTGTAGAGTTCTTTACACGTATTTCACGTTTATTTCAGTCCATTTCTCAGGCATATTGAGGCCATTTAGGTTTGTAAATGCATCCCCTCCCAGATTACAATTTTATTTCAAAAGTGTTTTGTTGTTGTGTGAGTTTTTTAAAATCATTGACTTCATTAGTGAAATTTCTGGAAGATAATGGACCCAGCACTGAACTTTGTGGGACACCTATAATGATGCTCAGGTTCATATGAATCTGGTTGTGCAACCATCTCAACAGGTGATTTAGTCTAAACAGTATTTCCATGGGTGAATTTCTGAGGAACATCAGATAGGACAAAGGCCACATAAATTTCAAGGTATTTGTTACATTCCTCTAATATTGCAGACTTGTTTGTCTTATCAGAAAAGAATTTTTTTTATATATACCATTTGTTCAAAAAAACCTTGTGTTAACTGTTTTGTATGCTTATGCACTTACAGAATAATTTATCTTGGAATGTTTTCAGGTTATGCTGGTTTCCCTGTAACCCCTCTCCTTTCCTTTCCTTTGTTTCTGTAGATGGCAACTATATTTACCTTTTCCCTTTCTGTTGGGGCTTGCTGCATTACCCAGGAGACTTTGGAAGTCAGCTGTATGTCAGATCTGGATTGCTCGAGTCTGGCCTAATGCAAATTTATCCAGTTTATTTAAACATTATTTCACATTAATCCATGTAAACAGGAAATAAGACTTCAGGGAATCTTCCCTGTAGAAACTGCTCTCAAAGTTGTATGGAAACAGAATTTTGCCTAAAGTCATAAATAGATAAGACTGTGTGTAAACAGAAAACAGTGCAATACAATTAAGTCATGAATAAAGAACACGTGAAAGTAATATGAAATCCATAGTTAATAAGGATAATAAGAGAGAAGACGACTGAAAAGAAAAAATAGAACAAATATTTATACAAAAAATGCTAGGATCACTAGCAGATGGTCACTTAAGTTCAGAGACAGAGGGCAGTACCCAGCTCCAGATTGACACCTGAATGTACTGTATTGTATGTGTCTACATGTGAGTGAGGTACTTGTCTTTCACTTACAGGGGATGGAGACTTGAAAGGCAACATGTGCCATTTGATGTGCCAGGATATTTGCATGGCATGGCAGATATCACACAGGACCTTTGTGGGTCTGTACACTTCCAGGCCAACATCTGGAATTGGTGGGAAACCCTAGGGCATCTCCAGTGGCAGTAGGCACCTGTGTCCAGGCAGGGATCCTGTTTGATCAGGATTGAACAGGGTCTCTCTGCTGGATGTAATAGGAGATTGGATACACAGAGATGAGAAGCTCAGCATGAAAGCAAGCTCAGTGTGAAAGTAATGACATCTCAGACCAAAATCCTTCCTTTTCATCTCACTGCCAATAACGTTTTCTGAAGCTGTATAAGGTAAATAATCTTAGCCTACATAAGAAGAGCCCATCTGTTTGATGGACAGTTCTCTCATTTTACATGCAAGGCTGTGTCAGTCTGTATCAGCTATTGATAAGGAAGCTGGTTTTCTGACCTTGACTGAAGAAAGTTTTTGTTGATTTCTTACTGATCTGTACTTTATAATTTCTGTGGGATTTTGATATTTCCAATCAGCACAACTGAGGTTTTAGCTCGTGTTTGGTGTAGCTGCTCTCTGTGTTGTCCATTCATGCATTATTTCCAATGTTCTCTTAAGATGTTTAATATATTATGGCTTACTAAATGAGTGAGGATTAAATGATAGCCTGTTCTTTTTGTGGTCCTGTTCCTTGCTCTCTACTTACACTTAACCTTTCTGGAGTAGGGGGATTATAAGCAAAGAAGAAATTGAATTCAGCCTTGTTGGTTTCATGTTTTGTCATTTCTTCATTGATAATGGACCTATTTGGAAGTTTGTTTTGGAAGCTTATCCCTGCTGCTTGAAAGCTCTATTTACTGCATAAATAAGTTTTTGTCACACCTTGACAGACACAATTTTCCTAGTATAGATGGAGTTACATTGGCAAAAACATCCCTTTTCCAGAACAGATTTTTCTTCTGTTTTGTGAAACGGCTATAAAGTTTCTGGGAAACAGAACACACCTTTTGAGTACACTAGGAGAATTTAGTGAAATGGTTCCATGAACAAACTCTTGCTAATGCAGGCCTAGAGTTCAGCTGTCTTGCCTTACTTTTCATATTTACTTCAGTTAAGAACAAAATGATGCCATATATCTTCTTGGTATATCACCTATATTTTTTGGTGAAATTGTATCATAAAATATATCAACACTTAAACTGTTTGACTTACTGATCAGAATACTGACAAGTAACCAGTATTCATCCTCAAATTAAATTTGATAAAGCATATGCAGAAAAAAGAAAGCAAAATATCTTTAAGTAGTCAGTTAGTTTTGGTAATGAAATTTTGCAGCTGCAAATAATTTTTACAACTGAATCCAGATATAATCTCATAGTTGCCTTCAGTTTTTTAGAGGTCACCACTCAAAAAAACCTGAAGTCAATGGCAACACTGGAAAGGAAAAACATAGCTGTAACTTTTTATTATTTGGACGAACATGCTGAAGAGAGGCAGAGTAAATATTCTAGAGTGATTTGTGTCCTTGTTCAGCCCGTGTAAATTTTTCAAAGAATTTGCATGCAGAATTTGACATCAGCCAGTTGCAGATCTTCTTGTGTTTTCCAAGCCTCAAACAAATTTGGTTCGTGGGTCAATGATTCCAAAATGACAGCTGTGAATCCTCACAGCTCATCTTGGATCATGGAGCTTCTTTATCATTGAGATTTTAATTGGAAGTGCTGTGTGAACAATTCAGTGTTCTAATTGGCATTATAATTGTGCTGTTTTACAACTTTACAGTTACAGAAAACACAATATGTAGGTGCATGTTAATAGGGGTTTTATTTAAAACTAAACAATCACTTTAAAATAGTTTTGCAAAACAAGTGAGCTTTTATATTGGGGGGAGATTGTTGCTGTTTTTTCTTCAAGAGTTTGGAAGAGATCTGGAAGGTTTCTTTGCTGCTGCCTGGATTCCCTCAAACATCCTTTTTTTGCTGAGGAAAACTGATTACAGGCTTTGCAAAGAGAAGGTTACTAGAGAGGTTACTAGATGTGGGCAGTTTTCATGACATTTACTTAGAAAGATCATTCTTTGCATTGAGCTTTGGTTTGTTTGCCATGAACAAACTTTGTGCTGCAGTCAGGTTTAGGTTGCTCTGTGGAACCTACCTG